CGTCTATTTATGTAACATGTATATTTCATTCACGTATAGGTTATGAGTGCGTGTGTGTGTGTGTGTGTGTGTGTGTGTGTGTGTGTGAGAAAATCTGATGCCAGTGGCGTGAAATGACAACATTTATAAATAGAAGACGATATATCACCGATGTGTTTTAGCCATTTGTAAAATAAATAAATGCATACAGTACATCAATATAAAATAAAATATTTTTCAATTAGGGCCTGCCACTGAATCAAATGGCACACGTTGTTGTTCTGACAAGGCAAAGGGCGACATCATGTGGAAATTTGACGTTAGTGTACTATATTTCTTTGTGTGGCATTCCAACGTAATGCAGTGTGGATAAAACCTGCACGTTAAATAAAAATGAGTTCGAAATATTGACAGTGATTTTCATGACAACAACAATAATTAAAGCGGCAAGCACTGATGCTCAGGGCCTCGCATTTCCTCTTTAATCCGAAACGCCATGCCAGCCTACATCATATTGCATAGGTTTAAAAAACAAGAGTAATCTAGCATTTTTCAGCGCTCCAGTATACCTCCTTCTAATTGGGGCTCATTTGAGCAAATTCCATTGTCGTCACGCGTGAAGCCCTCAATCCGACCAAAATGTCTAAATTAAAGCAAAATGGATGACATCCTGTTCAATTTCAGGCATTGGTCCTTGAGACTTTTATCGAATGTCCTGGTACTGTATGAAAAACTGAGGTTGATGTTGATCAGTAGTGATGTGTCCAGCAACACCGATGCGTCGACGCACGCGTCGAGCTCACATAGCAATCCCTGTGTTGGTGCGTGTACTACAGCTTCAAGATCACGTGACCAATACATGAACTGCGTCGACTCAGTCCAGGCTGCGTCGACGCCGCAAAAGGCCGCCAAACTGTGTTTATAAGGAAGTGCGTCGAGCAACGCGAAACCGCCTGCCGAAACAAGCCAGACCCCACCTTCGCTCGAATAAAAATATATATTTGGGCAAAAAGGAAAATACACAGATTATCAGAAAAACGTGTCCATCTGACTTCGAGCGTCGTGTCGGCTAGGCTAGCTTAGCTGTTGTCGTAATTCAAAGCTTTTTTGATATGTGACGTGGGTTGCGTCGGCGCAGTGAGTACGTGCTAGCGCTCACGAGTGCACATCAGAGAGCAGCGGACTATCGACTGCTGAGGCTTCACTCGAGTGCCGTTACTACAATACGTGCATATTATGGAGCAGCTCCCGGAGAAACGCAAATTGTCCGCCGTGTAGAGCCATTTTGATCTCCTTTTGAAGAATAAGGTATTTATTCAAATCTCCTTGTCTCACCAAGTGCCTCACGGATTTTTGACATGTCTTATTCCATTCTAATTCAAATGAATTTCAAGGTAACTCTTAGTTTACTATTCACATATTTTATTGCAGGTGAAATGTCGAATTTGCCATACAGAAATATCATATGCCAACAAAAGCACCTCTGCAACTACATCTGGCATATGTTACTCATCCTTTTTAGTTTGTTTTTTCGAAACTGTTCTAAATGCCATATTTGTTAGGTTTGGTTTTTTTAGATGACCTGTAGCAACATTTGGATGATGAGGTAGGGAGACTGGGAAGAAGTGCAACAGCAGATGCTATAATACCTGAGGTCCAGCGATACCTGTCAGAGGGGAAAATTGCACGCAGTCAAGACCCGCTGTTATAATCGAAGGACCAACACACTACTTTTCCAAACCTCTCCCACCTCCCAAAGCAGTTTCTCTGCACGCCGGCATCACCAGTGCCATGCGAGCAGGGGAAATAGCATGCAAGAAACGCAACAGACTGAAATTCAAAACACTGGAGCAACTTATTTTTCTGAATAAAAAATTGTGAAGACAAAGCCCACAAGCATCCTCATTTACATAATTTTCACCTTATTCAAACATATTGAATAATACAATATGAATGCATAGATGTGAATGATATTGTATACACTTCATCATCAAATCAGTCAGTTCAGTCTGCCAAGTGGGTTGCCTGCAGGGATTTTGAAAGTCCAGCAGGTGTCAGTGGTCAGCGACACAGTATCAACACAGTGTGTCATTGTGTCAACAC